AAAATCTTTGAAATCTTTGATATTATTTTCTGCTACAACTGCTCTTTCTGATGTATATTTAAATTTAGCATTTTAAATTTTTTTCCTCGTTTATTTTGTGGCCTGTATAAATTTGCTTATGTCTGCCATTGAAACAGTTTAATCTCTTCTTGGAATGGTGCTATCTTTCTGGCAAGGTTGGCTTGGAATTCTTGTTTTAGTTGTTTTTGTCCATTTTTTACAACCTTATCTGGCCTGAGCCAGGTGAAGTGTCCTGCTTTGTCGCTAAATAGACGGGGAATGTGGTGAATCTGTCACTCCATGTGCCGCTCCCTCACAGTGTTGCTTCCCCCATCACACAGGGGAAGTGTCACCTGAACAGAGAGGATCTCTTCTGGATCTATTGGAGCCAGCACAACACGGGCAGGTCCCCGTGTTGGGAGGAAAGCGTCGTATGACACTTCCACTCCAATTATGGGCAGTGCCTCTGCCAGAAGTCAAACAATGTCGTAGGATGGGCACCATGTCCATCTGTTGCTGCACTGGTGAGGAAGCATTCTAGGACTCTTCACAAGCCCTGATGAGGTCTCATCTCTAATTTTGTTGTATCTTCTTGTTTTCCTTTCACATAGTACCATCTTGTCTCCTCTGGTTCTTCTTTCACTCAAATTGCTTCCATCCTCTGTATTCTTGCTCCTTCCTGAATCTTATAGATGGGTTATTATTTCTTGGCATCTTCGATTTTTTTTACTTATTGATTATTTCTTGTCCTGCTTCGATTTATTGCTCCTAAAGAGGATTGATCAAGGAGAAGTTAAGTGATTTAGCCATTTCCCAGAACAACAAGACACAATGCACTAACCCTTTAATTTAGTACTTTACTTGTTTTAACCATTATCTGATTTTTTTTCAGATGTTTTGTTATTGAAAAAAATCATTTATGGTCTCCATGACATACTTCTTTAAAGTGAAGCTTTTTTGGATCTGTAAATTCCAAATGATGTCTCCTTAGACTTCTGTCCGTCATTTACCCAATAATTTTGAAGGGAATATCAAAGTCAAATTTCCAAATTAAACTGGTGCAGGATTTAGAGTTGTTGTTAAGGCCTGTGAAGCCTCATCCTTTGAGGATGAGGTCGAGGATTTTTTGTGTGAGTCTGTTATTTCTGTGGGGGAAAGCAATAGTGTTTTTCGAGATGTTTTAAATAGATCTGTTGTTGAGGAAACATACCATGTTTCTCAGGAGAATCTCCCAAGGATTGACTGTGAAAGGAATGTGGCAAAGAGGCAAAACACATTGCATGTTTAGAATTGGTGCTACAATTGGTGTATGGAAGACAAGGAAGAAAGGGCACAGAAGAAGACAAAAGTAAGCAAGAACCACAGTCCAGTCAAGCCTCCAACTTTTTCTTACAAACCTTTAGTCCCAGGAGGAGTTAGAATTTTGACTTTTATTTATTTATTAAATTAAATTTCTTTGTTGACTGTTCACCTGTGCAAATCCAATCTGTTCCTGGCGAGGTTAGAGCACCTTCCATGGAGATTGCTCAGGGGACAGAAGAACTGCATTGCAGGTGGATAGATACAATCAAGGAAGTCATGTCCCTAAGACTGCAAGACCTGAACAGGACTGTTGATAAGGTGACTTGAAGGTCTCTCTTTCATTTATATATTTATATTTGTCGTGTCAGAGCAACCAGTCCATTATATTACATTTCTAACAGAACAAAGCAAACAAACAGACAAAATACAAAACTTGTGAGTTTGGTAGTTGGTTAATGTCCTTTGACCAGTATCTGGCCACCTGGAGTGCTTCTGGTGTCGCTGCAAGAAGGTCCTCCATGGCGCATGTGGCAGGGCTCAGGTTGCATTGTAGCAGGTGGTCAGTGGTTTGCTCCTCTCCACACTCGCATGTCGAGGACTCCACTTTGTAGCCCCATTTCTGAAGGTTGGTTCTGCATTTTGTGGTGCCAGAGCGCAGTCTGTTCAGTACCTTCCAGGTCGCCCAGTCCTCTGTGTGCCCAGGGGAGTCTCTCATTTGGTATCAGCCATTGGTTGAGGTTCTGGGTTTGAGCCTGCCACTTTTGGACTCTCGCTTGCTGAGGTGTTCCAGCGAGTGTCTCTGTAGATCTTAGAAAACTATTTTGATGTAAGTCGTTGACGTGCTGGCTGATACCCAAACAGGGGATGAGCTGGAGATGTCTCTGCCTTGGTCCTTTCACTATTGGCTGCTACTTCCTGGCAGATGACAGGTGGTGCAATACCGGCTAAGCAGTGTAATTTCTCCAGTGGGGTAGGGCGCAGACACGCCGTGATAATGCGGCATGTCCCACTCTTTTAGTATGGTGAGATGTGTTCCACACTGGGCATGCATACTCAGCAGCAGAGTAGCACAACGCAAGGGCAGATGTCTTCACTGTATCTGGTTGTGATCCCCAGGTTGTGCCAGTCAACTTTCGTATGATATTGTTTCTAGCACCCACTTTTTGCTTGATGTTCAGGCAGTGCTTCTTGTAGGTAAGAGCACGGTCCAGGGTGACTCCCAGGTATTTGGGTGTGCTGCAATGCTCAGTGGGATTCCTTCCCAGGTGATCTTCAGAGCTCGGGATGCTTCTCTGTTCTTGAGATGAAAGGCACATGTCTGTGTTTTAGATGGTTAGGGATCAGCTGGTTTTCCCTGTAGTAGGCAGTAAGAGCACCTAGACCTTTGGAGAGCTTCTGTTCTACCGTCTTAAAGCTCCCTGCTTGAGCAGTAATGGCACGATCATCAGCATGGCACGATCTCTTTCACTGAGTCACTATAAGTCAATTTGAAGACAATTAATAATCCCTGAGCTTGGTAAATTCCTTTTTTATATTCCTGCATTCAGCATCAAGTTTGGTCTAAAACTATCTAGCAGCTTGTGATCCCTTTATTTTATCAGTTTTAGATAAATTATTTTATGCAATGCTTTTGACATGAAATAAATAAGCATCAAACTAACTTGCATTATGTCATTTTGGCAGAAAATTGCTTGAATTAGATGAGTTTTCTAACATTTTGCTGGAATCCCTTCATAACTTCTAAATTGCCCTCTAATGTTTTATTCTTAAAGCCAGTGGGTAGAATCTGTGGGGCAGTGGGGGGAACCATTGGGCAGTACCCCACATTGCTCCCTTACCATCACATGAAGTTTCCTGTTTGCTCCTGTCTTGGTCCTGCATTATTCCTGGCTTAGTCAGCCCTATATAATGAAGTCCTTTGTCTCCCAATGCTGATTTTGAGGGTTCCCAGATATCTTAAGGGATTGTGTGGGTTCTTTATGTTGTTGTTGTTGTTGTTGTTGTTGTTGTTAAGATATGATCATTGGACTGAGTCACCCACTAATTCCACTAAGACAAAGGGCCCTTCCACACAGCCATATAACTCAGAATATCAAGGCAGAAAATCCCGCAATATCTTCTTTGAATAGAGTTATCTGAGTCCACACTGCCATATATCCCAGTTCAAAGCAGATAGTGTGAGATTTTATTCCGCTGTGTGGAGGGGGCCAGAGACTTCCAAGACACCACAACAGTAACCCATTTTATGGCAGTGATAATTCTACAGCCCTGATGATGTATACTGGGAATATATTACATCCATGATCTTGGATGAAGATTATAAAAACTATTGTAGACACTTGAAAAGCTTCTTCTCCACTAGTTTGCCAACCAATCAAAAGATGTATCAGGTTAGTATTTCCAGAACATATTTCCTGTTCTGTTTTGTAACATGGTTTTCTTTCCAAGTAAAACTAAAATTACTTTGCTTGGATCTAAATCAGAGGTTCTTAGTAGGCCTGGGTAACAACGGAAAAATTTGTTTCTAAAATCGATTCGTTTTTTGGGGGTTTTTGCGTTTCGTTATTTAAAATAATTACAAAATTTTCCTTTTAAAAAGTTCGATATTTACGAAATTTCGTAAATGTGAAAAAATTTACAAAACATTAACGAATCGATTTCCGAAACAATAACGAATCGATTCGTTAATGGCGGACGCGACCGCGAAATACGCTAAAAAACCTCCAAAAACTTCTGAAGCTTCCCTCTCCCTCTGTTGTTGACTGTTGGTGTGATATTATAATTTTTTTTCACTAATTAAACAAAAAACAACCATAAAACTTGCCCCAAACATGCGGAAATAATAACGAAACGACCTCAAAACAATAACGAAACGAATACAATAACGAAATACGAAGCATTTACAAAACTATTTAAAAATTCGGTTTTTTAAAAAATTGCTCCAGAATGGTTCGTTATCGTTTTGTAATTAAAAAAATTAACGAATTATTAACGAATTACGAATTAACGAAACGAAACCGCCCAGCCCTAGTTCTTAGCATTATTCATTCAAAAGACTCTTTTGGGCAAGTGAAAACCATTGATCCTTTTCAAAATGTAGTGGCGTATAGTTTTATGACATTCAGCGTGTCATACAATGGTTTGTATACACCAGGACTGTGATCATGTATTATCTACCTTTGGGTCCAACAACTGTCATAATTACAAAAAACAGATGAGAGTAAGCATTTTTTTTAGATATGCACATACTGTAATATTTTATCAAATAAATATGACTGTAATGTATTCCATATATTTATAAGGGTAGGAAATGCTAAATTTCAGTTAGAAGTCAGGGAAACTAAAGGTTTATGTGGGGTTTTTTTTTTCAGTTTAAGGATGTCTAAATGGAGGTTGGTCTCAATGAAAAATTGAACCCTCACCCAGTTTGCTCTTCTCCTTTCTCATGGTTTCTTGGCAGAAATGTAGTGCATTTATGATATTTTTATGTGTTTATAGTAAGCAACAATTACATTCCTGCTTCATGGTTAACACTAGGTGTAATTTATTATTTTCTGTGGCTTGAGCCATTTATGCCCACCTTTCTAGTAATATTAATAAAAGCCTTTTATTGTTTTCAAAAAGCGTAATATTTTCCACAACAAAAAGCACACCTCATCTTTGACACATAAATTAAATAAAGAAGACAAAATGTAATATTCTTTTTAAATGCAAGGGTTTATTAGAAAATTATCAGTTTCATTCATGGATCCCTTTGCTTGGATAGGGATTGGACACATTTCTTTGGGTTTCGTGGGACTTTTGCAATACTTAAATTAACATATGTGCAGTTGCCTAGGAATGACCAACTGGGCCACACATAAAACAATATTCCAGGTTAAACTTCAGATGAGAATTGGCAGTAAATACATGCTTCACTGATCACAAGAGCAGGCCACATGGGATCGAACAGTGTCTACAAAGTCTTCAGGTTTTTCAACAAGTTTTGACATTTCAGTAGGCAAAGTTGTCCCTAGGAAAGAAGAAAAACAGGGAAAAAATTATCAGAATGGATGTTTTGTAGGGGAAAATGCTTTTTTAGTCTCAACAGCTAAAGAACAAACTAGATTCTTGCTTGCTTTCTCTTCAAAAAGATGTCTCTTCTGATGTTTTTCAGTTTCAAGGGAGGCCTCCAAATAGCAATTGAGGGAGGCAATTTTGATCAGGATAGCAACACAGAGATAATTGTGACTCTTTCCCATATCCCTTCTTTTGGAAAATCAAGAAATATCTTCATAGCGCCCTGAGCACTGCACTAAACCAGGTTTCCTGACTTTATAGAGTGCCCATCTACTTTGTAACTTCAGGAAAATAAAGAGAGAGAAGAGTAATTTTAGGGGTGAGTAGCAGATGTGACATAGACTTACCAGCTGACACACAGTGGAAACCGGCAGAAATCTCACTAGTTTCAGTGGGTGAGCACCCTTCTTGGCATTGCAGAACGGGATGGTTGGAAACACACTGGGAATTTTCTTCTGTAGCCAGCACTGGATTCTCATGTGTCACTGTTGAGTGCTGCAGCTTGCAGGCTACAAGAGAAGAAGTGGGTTCATTTAAAACCTTGAACAGAAAACCGGTGAGCTGGCACATGAGAAGGCACTTTGCCTAGCAGCCCTGCAAAGTCCTCAACTACCAGCCATCTTGGTTGTAACAAAAGAATCCACTTACTTCCACCTAAGGCATCAGGAACAACCCAGGACTGGGCAAAACTGACAAGATCTTTGGCCAAGTAGCCACTTGGGGTTCTGAGAGGTCCTGAATATCCACTGTTAGATTCACAGAGACCACAGGTCAATCCAATCTTAGGAGTCACCACAACCTTGATGAAAGGATGAACAGCATTCATTGAAACTTAATTTACATTCAGGATGAGGAATAATGTAGCTACATCCATTCAGTCTCCCAAGGAAACATTGAATTGGGGGTATTGTGTTAATGATTGCATTGCTACTGAAAAACAGGATGGGAAGATCTTAATAGCAGTACAATGGCAAACACGTCAACACACACACATATACTCAAAATAATAAGGATTGTTTCTTGCAGGCTATAACAGAGGAAGTAGGGGTCTGCAGCTCAAGGAAAACCCATGTTACTTTCTGGCTGCCACAGCTGGTGTTTCCTATGACAATGGATCTTGAATCAAAACAGAGTTCCTGTTTCCATTTTAAAGGAGATGTCTCATGTGCTGAAATGATGGGGAGGGATTGTGTATCAAGGCCCAAAATCTTGAGTAGAACTTTTAAAGTTCTGCATAACACAATCAAAAGGGATTGGCTGCTCCATCAAATCTCAAACCATCATCCATCACTGCCCTCAGCAACATCTGGCCAGAATGCAGAGAGAGAACGAGATGTAGAGAGAAGGCCAAAGGAAAACACAAGTTTGGATTGGGAGTTTGCAAATCATATTCCAGTCTGGAAAATGATTTGCAACAAGAAACATACCGTGACTTCACGTCCATTATAGACCAGTCGCTCCAATCCATACTTCTCCATCTGCAGAGTAATCTCTTTGTCTCCTACTGTAACAATGATACCATTTGTTTCTGCAATTTAAACAAAGAAAAAGGTTAGCTATAGCAAATAAAATGGGCTTTGAACTAAATCTCATGCTCTTGTATAACAGGAAATCCCTGTTCATCAACTTCCCATAGTCTATTTCAGTCTATTTTATAATAAAAAAGAGATAACCTTTCTGTTAATCTGTGTTACCTATTTAGGTAATATTTTCTAGCCTATAATCCGAGGAACAGGCCACACTAATTTAGTATTCCTCCTACTCTCAAGTTAAACTATTGATGTTTATCTATTTGTTGGCCACTGTCTGCCTTAAATCATGATTCAAATGGTTCAATCTGGGTATTCATTCAGTCTTGTACATACCTCTGAGATTGCGTAAGGAAGGCTCATTGCTCTGTATGGTGGTCCCATTCATTACTAACAAAGGTTTTCCATCACGAATCTTGAAGACAATCTCCCTGATAGAAAAATAAACATGCAATAGAGCATTAATTTTCCCTTGTGACCAGAATTTTCCAACACTGAAATCAGGTCATCATCAAGAAAATGAATTTATCGAGCACTCTGAAGCTCTCTCCTCATTTATGTTCATGTTGTTTCAATTAACCATTTTGATTTACATATGCTTAGCATTGGTAAGGCATTACAGTGCATTGAAGCTGGATTGAAAAAGATAAACAGTATTTAGGTATATTTTGCCCATTTGATGATTTGCAAGACTCAAATTCTTTTTTTCATCCCAAGAAAAAAACTCGCTTACTGCCACGTTTGAGCATACTTACGTGTAGCCCATGGTGGCATTGACCAGTATATTGTTATCAGGTTCATATTTAATCAGCACCATAAAATTCTTGTGGCAGGTACAGTCTTGTAACAAGTCCAGGAAACAGCTGGGAACCAATCCTTTGCTGATGATTCGTCCATGGAAAGTTTGGATTGTCCGACCGCTTACTTTACACATACCTAAAAGAGAGGCAGCAACATGAATGAGCGAAAATAACCACTTTTGGAATGATCCTTAGTGTTATGTAAACAGCTATGATACAGTATAATGATTTTTTTTAAAAAAACAAATTAATACAATTAGATTGGACAAGATTAGCTTGGACCAGTAACTTTGATAGGGTGATTTTCTTTCTGAATGCTAAATTACTATTTATTCTTTCAAGTCAACAATAGCAAGTGTTGGGGTTTGCCACAAATTATCTGATACTTCTAATATTTTATTGCTTACTATTACTCAGTGTATTAGTTAAACATATCTTAAATGTTATATTTGTATATTTCCATTTTTAATCTTGTTAGTTTAGGATATTTTATATTATGATGTTTATTTATTGTTTATGATTTGATCTGTTTTGTCACACCTTGTTGGCACTGAATGTTTGCCATTTTTTCTGTTCTACACCTCCCTGAGTTCCCTTGGGGAGATAGGGCAGGATAAAAATAAAGTATTATTATTATTATTATTATTATTATTATTATTATTAGTAGTAGTAGTAGTAGTAGTAGTAGTAGTATTTTATGGCTCAGGTTCAGCTCTCCATTGCTATTTAAAGTTACAGAACCATGATGGTAATGGAACTGCTTGGTACAATTATAAAATCTTTTCAGAGAAATTAACTAAAATGTTAGGAGAAACTGATCAGGACTTCCTCTCATACTAAATGGCTTAAAGCAAAGAAGGGGATCCTCCACTACCAATAATTTCCATAGCTTTCACTGTCTGTCATCCTGGTTCAGATTGATCACCCTTGGGCTAAAGAGTGTAGAAATCGTAAAAACCTCACCATTCAGACTGGCAAGGACTCTTGATGGAACATCAATGATTTTGGAAGTTTTGATAGAATCGAGCGACACTTCAAATGGAAGCATGAGGTCCTCTTTATAGAGAGTATTCTGGAAAGAAATATGAAAAATGATTAAAAATTAAGCATAGCAAAAATCTGTCTTTCCCTTCAGAGTTTTCCTGCACTGATACTTTGGCATAGATTGGGATAACTGACCCCTTCCATCCTCGTGACCATGGCGTAGCTGCGTGGAGTGGTAAGAGCCAGAACCATTGAAAATTCTCGAGAGGGGTTTTTTTCAATTCTATGTGAATGTCCCAGCATGAATGCCATTCCAGGGATTAGTTCATAGTACCTGTCGAGAAAGGAAGGAAGAATCGCATTATCCAATTTAATTAATTTAAAAGACACCAGAGGTGAATCCCACATGTATTTCATAGATCATAAAATTAGAAGAGACCACAAGGGTCATCCAGTCCAATACCCTGACATGCAGGAAAAGTACAAAGTACCCCTGGTTACCACTCCCAGCCATCAATGCTACCCTTCAGGATGGCTCAGAGGTTCTGAGATTTCTCATTAGCCCACAGTTAATATGTCAGTGTCCATGTGGGACAATATTACTTTAGAAATCCATACACTTCTGGAGATATCTCCCTATCAGTAGTAAGGACACTGACTGGAATATGGGTACAAGTGGTAGTCTGAGTTGGGGTCACCACAAGCCTAATCTGCATTCCCAAAAGAGTTACTTGCATCAGAAAAAAGGCCTCTTTTTTCAGGAGACTACAAGAATGAAACATGCCTTTTCCATCTGATTTCTTGCAGGACTCAGGGGACAAGGGCTGATCCAGAAGAGAGAAAAGGTTTCTGAAAGAATCAACTGTTTCAAGTCCAGTTTTTAAAATTTTTCCTGCATATTCTGAGATATGATCCACCCTTTTTAAAAAATATCCCAGGTTTCCTTCTCATTTCCTTCACTTTCCCTTCCCGCCTCCCCCACTGATCACATGATACATCTAGATATTTCAGAAATGAAATTCCACCCATTTCCACAAATCATTTTGTGCAGGAACAAAATTTGGGACTCTCAAAGATATTTCCCCTTATGGAAGAGCCTTAACACTCTGTTTTCTGTCATAAACAAAGCTTTTACTCACGGTTTAAAAATGTCAGACACCGTGGAAGGGATCCTGGGGTACTCAAGTGTCCAACGAATTGCTGGATGATCAGCCAACCAACCGGTCTCCACTTCAGTTGTGACCTCGTATTCCTTGCAATCCTGGCCTGCCTTCAAAGATGACTGAGAGGAAGAGAAAAATGTTAAATACAACTTATTCAAATACATCACTCACCCCTGGTTGTCTTGTTCTGTGGGATCACCTGCGTGACCTGATGGGACTTACCTTGGCTTTGTAAGGGTTGACCATTCCAGAGTCCCAGCAGATAAATGGCTTGCCTGGCAGTGTAATGTTTGTCGCAATCAATCTTAGCCAGTTGGGAGCTTTATATACCACAATGTCAGATCCATCCGGCTTGGCATCATGACGGATGAGGCGAATACGAATTTTGATAACTTCCGTCCCTTTTCCCTAATAGGAGAAAAGAGGAAAAATATTTTGATTTATGCTTTTAAAAATTGTCGTTTTGAATGGGAATGTACTCATTAGTAGGAATATCAGTTTGAAATAGATGGATATAAAACCTGCCTTCTTACAGATGACTTCTGGCAATAAACTAGGCCACGTGATAGTTTCTCTAAGGGTCCATCCAGATAGGGCTTTAAATACAGGAATTCCCATTTCAAAAAGAGGAGTGGCTAGACTACGACAGTGCTAAATGCGCTCTGAATCGCTACAATGGAATGAAACCAAAGGAGAAATTGATCCTCTTTTATCCTGTTTCTGCCCAAAAGATATGCATCGTCGTATGTCTGTGTGACCCTGCATTCCAAAAATAAGTATTTTCCTTCTCTCCCCTCTGTGGAGACTGCTCTAGCTGATGTCCCTTTTATAAAGCCCAAAACAGCTGATCAGCTGATTGGACTGTCAAACAGACACACTGCTGATTTAAAGGAAGCACGAACAGAGAGCTATCAGAACTCTCTGAAACTCTATTTTACACTGTATAATATTAAACAAAACTTTAGTAAATAATTAGGGAAGGGAGAAATCTGATTGAAGTTTTTTTAAATTCACTCTGTTATGTACTGAACCTCATATGCACACATGCAAAAAATACTTGTATTTATTATATGGGCATGTACATATAATAAATACAAGTATTTATTAGAACCACCACTTCTCTTAACGTCCTCCCAGCAACATCAAGAGTATCCCTCTGGGCAGCTAAATCAGGAAATCCTAATTGGATGTCCCCCCACAAGGGTCTTCCTCCAGGGGCAAATCAAGAATGGGCAACTGAACGGATTCAGAAGTGGAGTGGGCAGATCAAAAGACAACCTGGCAAAATGGCATTACCTAAAAGAATCCCCCACCTTGTGTGACTGTGGAGCTGAACAGACAACTCTACATCTGTAGTCTTGTCCACTATGCCCTGCCTCATGTAAAGAGGAAGAATTGTTGGAAGCTACAGACAATGTCGTTGCTGTTGCCCGTTTTTGGTCAAAAAATATTTAGCCACTTGTGCTCCTTTTATTTATAACAGTTTTATACTAATTTATGCAATGCTTCTGATATAAAAGAAATACATGTGCCATACAGATCAGTGCATATATAAATCCACCAGATGTTCTTATCTTCCTCCCAATTTATCCCAAGACACAAAGGGGAGGCTAGTGAGGGTGGCTGAGGAAGAAACCCTGGGGCCAGCAGGTCTGTGTGGGGACTTGCTCTGAGGTGCCCCTGTTTTTAATCCCATGTTTTGCTACTGTCTGGAAATGCCCTATGTCAAAAGCCAGCAGAATCTTCTGAACAGAGTTGCCTTGTTTGGGATCAAGCAAGATATGAAAGAAGAGGAACAGGTCCATAGAAATGGGCATAGCTCACATAACTGTTTGCCCAGACCTTTGAAGCTATTCTCCCACCCCAGTTGATGTAACCATCAATGCTGATTTAACCACTTTCAGCTTATTTTAGAGATATGCACCTGCTGTCTGTTAAGGAAAGGTCCAAAAGGGCAACCCATAGACTGGAGTCTTTACACTCTACTTTGTTATGGTACTAACCGGAATATTTCTATCTTCCTCACTGCTGGAGCTAGAAGTTGCAGTAGAGGAGCTGCTGCTGCTGCTGCTCCTTGGCCTCTGTTTGCGATCAGTTTCCTTGGTCCACTGCAAAAATCAAAAATACCCTTAAAGCTTGTTGCGCCATGCTTCAAGTCTTAAGGAGAGGCGAGTAAGAAATAAAATGAATTATTATGTAGCATTATTAGTTTTATTAAGGCTCTTTCTGCACTTCCCTATATCTCAGGAACTGATGCCAGATAATCTGATTTAAACTGTCTGGTTTATTTCTCTGTCTTTATCTTCTTATGAGGAATTTAAGTATTCACTTTCAATAGCTGACCAGGTTACCACGTTTTCTTGGTTTCCTTAATTTTAAATTTTGTAAAGATTTCTCTTCATTTGAGGATTTAAATTGATGTTCATTTTGTTTTATCTCTGTGTCCTTTGCTTAATCTCTGTGTATTTTAATATGTATTTTATAGAGAAACGTTTTGGTGTATAGCTTTTAGAGAGGTACGTTTTAATATATGTATTTGTGATGTTTTTGCAATGTTTATATCTTTTAATTGTTCTGTAACCCGCCTCAAGCCATGTGGAGAGGTGGGTAAGAAATATTATTATTATTATTATTATTATTATTATTATTATGCAGGGCAAACTCCAGACTGAACAATGAGGGAGGCTCACATTTGTAGAAGGTGGATTTTCTTTATAGCCTTTAAGTGTCCATGGGATACCCTCATTTTACCAACAATGGTGGCAACATTTAAATATTTAAAGTTTAAGAATACTCTACCTTGCAAATTGTAAGTGTGGCAATGGAGTGATGGGCATGGTGGTTCACCCACCGCTGACACTAAAGAAGAGCATTAACAACATGGGGTTGGGAATGTTACTTTTTTGTAACTATGTATAGTGTCTCACAATTATACCCAAGTAGATTAGACTCATTGAATCAGTGAGGTTTACTTCCATGTTGACCATCATCATAACTATGTATAGTGTCTCATAGTTAGGCCCAAGTAGATTAGACTCATTGAATCAATGAGGTTTACTTCCATGTTGACCATCATCATAACTATGTATAGTGTCTCACAGTTAGGCCCAAGTAGATTAGAACCATTGAATCAATGAGGTTTACTTCTGTGTAGACCACCATCAATCCAGTAGGCTACACAAACTACAACTATTCCATCCTATAATTCTGTGATTTCTCGAACTGGCATAGTTACGGAGAACCGAATTCCCCAATTTATGTCATGAAGAAACCATGATTGTGTTAAATCACTCTTTCAACAAATCCAACTTTGGTATTAGAAGGCAGCACTTTAAAACACATTGGATAAGAGGACCAAGGGGAAAATATTACAGTTTGGGATTGATAGCAGCATAGAGAAATGGTGCGGATAACTGGAAAGGTGAACTAGTATGTCAGATAAATCTATTAGTTTAAGTGCAATATCAATATAAGAAAATACAGATAATGTTTTGTAATCATTTCCTGGCAGAAATATTGGCTCTTTCTAACTTTTTCAAGTGGCACCTAATCAACTGAACTAAAAATCTTACCTGCTGTTTGACTGATCTGAAACTGAACCGGTAAATCTCTTTTCGATCTCCCTTTAGAAGAATAGAGAAAAAAATATTGAATGAATGAGAGTGCCCTTTTGCCTTTCCACTGATAGATCTAATGACGACAAAGAACAATAAGATAAATTTCTCAATGATAACTGAAAGCTGCTAATTTTGATAAATTGAAGTACTGATATTTCTTTAAACTAGGTCCTATTTACGTTGTCATATAATTGCTATTTGAAACTGCAGTATATGGTCAGTATAGACTTACATAATGCAGTCCAGTGTAGCTATATATAATGAAAAAAGTACAAGCCTAAAGCTATTTCGCAAGACCACAACAGCAACATCAGTGTGAACTTCTGACTGAGAAAACAAGGGACTTCTTCCAACAGACTGTGCCATATGCTGCTCTAGCATGCCAACACCTCCAAGTGACATGAATATCCACCATGCTGATTTCCAATGGCATCGCATAGATACAAAATGGTACTTATGGAAGAAAGCTGTACATACATTATCAGCTTCTGAATTCTACTGAATGATTTTTGAACTCCAAGAAACAAACACATGGACCTGCTTAACAGTCTGTACGGAGGATTCCCCATAATGCTAGCTGGAACACTAAAATATACTGTTGCACTTTTATCTCATGTGAGCATAACTGCTTCTCCTCTAAAACCAGGTTGATCTACTTTCTGGGTATTAAGCTTTCTCAGTGGAGCCCTTCCAGTATGATTTTGCCCAATCTAACATTTCCAAATTGTATTCAAAGTAATAATGACATAGTTACCTTTTTGGAAATCTGAGAACTTTCACTGCTGCTGCTGCTACTGTCACTGCTGCTGCTGCTACTGCTGCTGTCACTGCTGCTACTGCTGCTACTGCTGCTGCTACTGCTGCTACTGCTGTCACTGCTGTCACTGCTGCTACTGCTGCTACTGCTGCTACTGTCACTGCTGCTACTGCTATCACTGCTGTCACTGCTGTCACTGCTACTGCTACTGTCACTGCTATCGCTGCTACTGCTACTGTCACTGCTATCGCTGCTGCTGTCACTGCTACTGCTGCTACTGCTACTACTGCTGCTGCTGCTGCTGTCGCTGCTGCTGCTGCTGTCGCTGCTGCTGCTGCTGTCGCTACTGCTGCTGTCACTGCTGCTGCTGCTGTCGCTGCTGCTGCTGTCACTGCTACTGCTGCTGCTACTGCTGTCACTGCTGTCACTGCTACTGCTGCTGCTACTGCTGTCACTGCTTTCACTGCTGCTACTGCTGCTGCTGCTATCACTGCTGTCACTGCTGCTGCTACTGCTGCTACTACTGCTGCTGCTACTGCTGTCACTGCTGCTACTGCTGCTGCTGCTGTCACTGCTGCTGTCACTGCTGCTGCTGCTGCTACTGCTACTGCTGTCACTGCTGCTGCTGCTACTACTGCTGTCACTGCTGCTGCTGCTCTTGTCACTACTGCTACTGCTGTCGCTGCTGCTGCTATCACTGCTGCTGCTCGAACTGTCTCTGGATCTGTGGCGGTGGGAGCGCTTGCCTCCACGGTGACGTGTCTCCTTGCTGTCACTGCTGCTGCTGCTGGTGTCACTGCTGCTAGTGTCACTGCTGCTAGTGTCACTGCTGTCACTGCTGCTATCATCTCGCTTTCTATCTGGCTTTTGTTTCGTTGGAGGTTCAGAAGAGGAGGAGCTAGAAGAGGAAGAGCTGGTAGAGAAATCTGTGATTTGCTTGGAAGGTTTCTTTGTATTTTTGCTTCCACCCTGGAGTAAGATTGAGAGGAAGGTACAGAAAGGCCATTGTTATCAACCTGAAACTTCTGAAATGAATAATTTATTATTTACTTATTTTGAAAGGGGAATAAAATGGAATACAGCAATATAAACAAAAGAACGATTATATACAATTAGAAGACATTCATTAAATCAAACTTTCAAAACAATATAACTAATAACCGTTTTAAAGATCCACTCAACCATTCCTTTTATTAAGCATCCGGGAAGGAGAGGAACCTTTGTGCATGTTGAAAAAAATGGTGCTGGTGGCTGTGCCTTCTCTGGCAAAAAATATTGTGGTGCCATGTTTAGCTGTAGCTGAGAGAATTGGATCTACAAAATGTGCAGTTAAATAAGAGTCACTCTCAGGCAAGCATGAAGATAGCAGCCTGGGACTCTTGAATGCGATTGTCACTCAGCATTAAACATCATGTTTTAGTATAAGACAGGATTTCATTATTGGGATGGCACAAAAAACTATAATGGTTTTATAGGGCCCCTTCTACACCACAGATAACATTCCAGATTATCTGCTTTGAACAGGATTATATGAGTTTTCACTGCCAGATAATCAGGGATAAGCAGATAATCTGGGATCAGAACCTGGGATATAGGGGCAGTAGGCTTGGGTAACCATGGAAAAATTTGGTTCTAAACTCGTTTTGTTTTTAGGGGGCCCTTGCATTTCATTTTTTTTAATAATTCCAAAATTTTCCTTTAAAATTTTTTGAAATTTATGAAATTTCGTAAAATTACAAATCGATTTGTTAATGGCGGACGAGATTGCATAATATGCTAAAAAAACCTCCAAATGGGACAGGAGGAACTTCTGAAGCTTCCCTCTCCCTCTGTTGTTGACTGTTGGTGTGATAAAACAAACAACAACTATAAAACTTGCACCAAACATGCGAAAATAATTACGAAATAATTACGAAATAAATTGAAAAATTTGTTTCGAATCTTTATTACTCCTCACACAATTCCTGCATGGCTCAATATTGGATCGTAAGCTAATTTAAATACGAATTAATAACGAATTACGAAATTAACGAACGAAACTGCCCAAGCCTAAGGGGCAGTATGGAAGGGGACTAGATCACCTCTGCTTATCTAGTGTTGTGAATAAGGCTAAAATGCCTTTGGTAAGAATGGCTGTATCTGCCAGTGACTGACCTTTTGCTCACATGGACCTTCATGGACTATTGTGATTGTGTTTCCGCTGTCCCTGAGAAAAAAACATTTAAAAACAGCATTTAAAACAAAGAGTACATGATATTACCAATAACATCAACAAGAACTCATGTTTTCATTGCAAGCATCACTCAAAACTGGAACTCCTAGTTACTTCTGAGCATTCAGTTTCAATATGTAAGCAAGTATCTTAAATCCATAAATACTGAAATGGTAAAGGAGATGGTAGGAACTTTAATTTTGTTATAGAAGGATGTTTTTGTGATCTACTCACCTTTTGGCAATACAGAAGAGACATTTGTTACCATAGGTGTTGCCATCACTGCCACAAACGGGGGCACTCTCAAGTGTGCATGCAGCGTTCTCGCCCTCAGGGGGAAATGCAAAATTTCGGCACTCATCCTATGAAGTAAAAGATAGTTGTGGTGATGGCTACCATTTTTGCTGGTGCTTTTCACAAACCTCTTTGGTGTTATCTCCCAAAAGGAAGTTTTGTAATGTTAGTTTTCTTTTTTTCTATTTCTGTGCTCTTCCAGACTGCAATAAAGACCTATGAGCTCTCAAGGCATTTTTGCTGTTGGCCAACACTGTACTCATTTATTCTACTTGAAGGAGGCCCCATTTGAAACTGTTTCTGGCAACATATTTTTTAACACAAAAAATCTATAGGAATGTTGTTTGGTTAAGTTTTCCTACAGGATGATAAGCACATTTTCAGTTCTACACATTATTAATGTATTATTGTTTGTGTATTTGTTTAGAGGTTAGAAGATTCTAGCAAAAAAGTCACTGATCCACTGTAACACTATAGTTCAAGAGTTGCAGAAGATTTGCATGAAAGGCTTCATCGTGACAAGGGAAGTTTTCTTTGGGAAAAAATTATAATATTCCTCTCCAGTTTTTCACTATGAAGTTTCTTCTGTCACTGAAGCCATTATAATAAAGGTGAACAACACTATATAGCACTTTATATACTGTATATACTTGAGTATAAGCCTAGTTTTTCAACCACTTTTTTAGGCTGAAAACGTCCCCCTGGGCTTATAATCGAGTCAAGGTTATTTATTATTTTGCTTTATTATTATTATTATTATTATTATTATTATTATTATTATTACTATTATTACATTTATTATTGTTATTATTACATTTATTATTTTATTCTATTTCTTATGGTTATTATTACATTTATTATTTTATTATTTTACTCTGCTATTATTGGAAGGATGGATAAGCACATTTAAAAACTGTGTTTTTATATGTTGTTCACCGCCGCAAGTCGCCCTAGGGCTGAGAGCGGCGGTCAATAAATGCACCAAATAAATAAATAAATAAATAAATTTACATTGAAGAAGGTTAGAATATTGGTTTAATCAGAGTTTTGTCTTAAATCACAGTTTTATGTATATATTCAAAATCATTTAACCTACTGGTGCCTCAATTAATGTAATTTTATTGGTATCTATGTTTATTTTGAAATTTACCAGTAGCTGCTACATTTCCCACCCTTGACTTATATCCTAGTCAATAAGTTTTCCCAGTTTCTTGTGGCAAAATTAGGTGCCTCGACTTATAGTCGGGTTGGCTTATACTCGAATATTTATGGCAATCAAAGTGAAGTCCACGACATGTGAGTGTGGAGGAGAGCACACCACAGACCACCTATTACAATGCATTCTGAGCCCTGCCACATGCACAATGGAGGACCTTCTCATAGCAACACCAAAAGTAGTCCAGGTAGCCAGCTTCTGGCCAAAGTATGCTTAGTATAATGCCAAGTTTTTAACTTTGTGTTTAAAATACATTTTAACTGTACCTTCAGTTTGCTTCTGACACGATAAACAAACAAACAAACAAATAAATAAGGAATAAAACTCATTTGATACCTCAAATCACTGCAGTATGAAAAAATGGTATGAAAATAAGGCTTCCTCCTGTATATTTAGGACTGGAATACTTGGGGTGTGGGGGGGGGGCTTTAAAGTGGTATACTTTTAGCACAACTTTCTCTGTAGCGTGTTTTGCGTTTGACTTAATGGGATAATTTATGGTCTGTGTGATATACTAACCTTTCCTCCATACTGTTTGACCTCTCTTTTCATCCTGGATTGCCCAAGACCAAGTTGGATTTCTCCTTTGATCTTCTCCATAGCAACAACTGAATGGAATACAATCCACACATGTGCATTAGAAAATGCATGTAACATCCTAAACACTAATATAACTGTAAGCAGAATATTTAGGTGACATGAGGATGATACCTGGTGTCAGCACAAGCCTGACTGTATGTCTTCCACATAAGAAGTGCACCCATGTGTTCTGGAGGGGCACAACATCATCTGTTTTCTCCACAGTCTCCCAGCAGATCCTCGTCTGGACCAAGGATAGTGCAGCACACCAATCTCTAGTGTCTTTTTTGTAGGATGGCCTTGATTGCTGCAGTGAATATAGTCTTGTAAGTATTTCATAAGGAGCAATGCAGTAATACACAAGGTGTACATGGAGAAGAGAAGAGTATGTTACAGAATAAATAAAATCCCAGTGTAACGAGATAGCTGAGTCACACTGGACACATTTTGGGATTATCTTTCAGATTTATTTATTTATTTATTTATTTATTTATTTCAAGTACTTCTACCCCGCCCTTCTCAACCCCCCTCTCAAGGGGGACCCAGGGCGGCTTACAACCGGCACAATTCAATGCCAACAATTCAACAAGTAAAATACATAGCAGCAGTAATCACAAATAGTTAAAAACAATCAATTAATACCATAACAACTAATAGAAAAACCAATCTAGTGGCTAACATTCACCGAGTTCTAAAAATCTGTAAGTCCATTCAGCATTATCATAATCCTTTCCAACTCTGGTCGTCATTACCTTGTCAGTCTGCCAGATTACCCAAAGGCCTGGTCCCATATCCATGTTTTCAACTTCCTTCTGAAGGAAAGGAGGGATGTCGATGACCTAATTTCCCCAGGGAGTGAATTCCACAGGCGAGGGGCCACCACTGAGAAGGCCCTGTCCCTCATCCCCACCAGCCTCACTTGTGATAAAGGTGAGGCCGAGAGCAGAGCCTCCCCAGAAGATCTTAAACTCCGAGGTGGGACATAGAAGGAGATACTATGGGAACCATTATAGTCCTTTCAGCTTTTGGGCCATAACTACTAGCTTGCTAATGAATGATGACTTCTTATTAAAGTGTCTAATTTTATGAGTATTTCCCTCATACATCAGCATATTAAAACAAAACCTATATGAGTACTCAAAAGCTACAATTAATCTACAAACAAGGGAATATTTTTTTCAAAATCATAATAAATAAATATAAAACATGTGTTCTTCCATTAAAATAATAATAATCAATTATCAGACTTGTCATCAACAGCCTGAAACATCAGGAAATTATTATATTCCCAACAGGACATGCTTACAAATGCATGCACACAGAGGAGAGCCTTACTTTAATGCCGCTTTTCCTTGACTGGAACTCTTCATTCAAGATATCCCCAACAGGTCTTCTGGGAAGGACTCGAGCTTTCTTCTCATAATCCAGATGCCTTGCAACAACATGTGCTTCATGGCTGTGTGTATACACAGGGAATGGCATTAAATTTGTGGAAAAATGAAGAACATTCCAAGGGAAAAACACTCACTGAATGAATGGCATGAGAGCAGCAAGATCATTCCACAAGCTCTGAATATTCAGGAGCTCAGGCTAAATTCTTGATTTCACTATGACAAGTTTACTTACAGTCCACTTTTCTCCAAAACTGAAAAACTCAGTATGAATGATCTCTCTCTCTCTCTCTCTCTCTTAGATAGATAGATAGATAGACAGACAGACAGACAGACAGACACACACACACACACTACAATGAAATTCTCATTGCCACGCCAAAAAATGAAAATGGGTTCTAAAATGACTTCAATATGAAGAGGAAAAATTAAAAGATTTTCATTAATGGTGCAGTGAAAAATGTTCTTCAATTTCCATATATGTACATCCATATATATGGACTTTGGAGAACATATGTTAGTATACCATTGCATGGTAGTGGGCAAAGTCACTAAAGTATAGGGAAGCATCATGGGTTCATAAAACTCCCACAAAACTATAAGACAAGACTGCAACATGAAACAATGTTTTGGGAAGGGAGAGAAAGAGCACAAAACCCTGAGCTGTAGGTCTGACTCTTGTTATGGTTCTTTCTGAAATATATCCAATGGTTAAGTAGTATGTGTTTCTCATTGTAACAGAGAGTGCAGCTAATAGTAGGTAGTTAGACCAACAGATAGATAGGGTTGGAGAACCACTGTACCTTGCCACTGCCAGCTCATATTCCTTATGGACTGGATCCATTTCAAATTCCAACTTCTCAGCTTCCAATGTGACATTCATTTTCAAGGAGGTTTGTATCTTGAATTCACCCTTCATTTCCACAACATGTTTGGATTGTTCTCTGTTCACTCCCCACATAAACTTTCCAAATCCTAGGAGACTAAAAGCAAATAAGAAATCACACATATAAGACATTTAACCACTGGTATAACTAGCAGAGCTAGGTCCAGCATTAGACAGAATGAGGGAGCACCTCAAGGGGTTGATTTGGAGTCCTCAGAGAACTGTTCCTTGTGTAATTCAGTTCCCTTGTTTTCTTAAATTCCAAGAATAGGATTCAGGATGTTTTCCCAATAGTGCAAAATTAACTTGGCTATGACTTGCATCATGTGTGAATGAAAGCGTGTGTGTTTGTGGGGATATTATATGCCTCTCCACCTTGTACGGCCATGTCAAACAGGTTCACAGTTCAGTTTTCATGAACAAAGCTGTGGCGTGGGACAATAATTTAACCATAATGGCTGAATACAAAAGTCATGTTTGGCTTACCCAGATGAGCTCTCAAGATGAAGTCCCTTTTGGATATTATGAGTCTTCTTCTGATCTGCTTCATTTTCCAATTCTTTTCCTACAAGAGATCAAAAGAGTAAAGGCTGTAAAAGGAGACTTGGCTAAACTCTGTCTACAGCTTTTGGCTAGGGAACCTGTCACCTTCATAAAAGAAAGGACAATCTCTTTTCCCCCTTTAAGAACGAACATAGAAACACTGACTATGTGTTGAATCAGGAGTCTAACAAAACATTTCATGACATTTGGTGATCTTCTGACTTACCCTTAAATGTAGTATATGGTATAACAATGCCAGTGGCGCTAACATCAAGCACTTGGCTGGCAGCAGGAATCATGTATCGAACCTCCAGAATCAGAGGTACCATCCATCGCTCATTAACATTTTTGATGAGCTCATAAATCATTCCAATGGCTTGAGGCCCAAGTCTTCCTTCCTCTAACTACAACAGAATAGACGTCCAATCAATTAAAAAATATGACACAAATGGTTTGAGTAGACTGTGAACAAAAAAAGAAAGCAGCTCACCTTCCCAAGTAGTATTGCATCTTGATTGGTCAAATACATGATTTCTTTGCCCATAAAGGAGAGTGAACTACCAAGCAAAGTATTCTCAAGGGCTAAGTCTTTGAATCCTGGCAGCTGAAAATCAAACAGATGATGCTTGCTGAGTCACATGCTCATTTAAGCAAGACCAAAAAGAAAAAAAAATCATTTTACTCTTGTAGGCATCTTCATTTTGCCAATATCCATGCCCTTTTGTTGAGAACAGTGTTTTAACAATGCCCCAAAACCACTTAATTTAGTCCCAAGCCACATATAGCCCCATGCTATAAATGCAAGTAGCTGACCAGGTCATCTCTTCTTGTTCATTTGGAAGACATTTGCCCACCCTTTCTCCTCTGCAGTCCCCTAACACAGATCTAGGAATAATTCACCCGCCATTTTCTTAAGCCCATTGACTCAAGGAACTGAATATATTACCTGTCTTTCTGTATCTTTAACCTTCTGATGGCTAAAGGTTTGCTCAGTTGGCCGATTGAGGTTTGCCCACCATTCCTTTATGCCGTTAGCTTGCACTGTAAACTTTTCAAAGAAAGAGAGAATTTGGAAAGGATATGATATGAGCTCATTCCTATTTATCATGTATGAAGCAATATGCAAAGGAACCCAGCCCACTTCTTTTTTCTGAAATGTGCTAAGGTAATGTGATACTTACCTCAACTGGCTGAACAACTACGCCAGAGAAAGCTACTTCTGAGCTTAAGATGAAATTTGAGGGGAATGGTCCATTGGGGTGGTCAATCGTAATAACTTTCAAAATGCCGCCAATTCTGTGGACAGCTGTAATCGAAACAAACACAACATAGAAGCGTGATACCTCTGCTACAGTTCTTTGGAAGTACTTTCCCAGACTGCTTACAACAATTCATGGTTCCCTTGAAGAAACTGAGTGGGCATCATTGCCTAAATATTTTCGCTGACACAACCTTTTCAATCAAACATGGCTGTCCCAGACATATGCTTGTCATATAGGATTCAAAAGAGAGAGGGGATATGTTTGGTAAAGTTGCCCTGTTTCAACCTTTGTTCAGGTGAGTAACAACCATTCCCAGGGAAGTTGCAATTAATATGCTTCTTGGAGCAGATCTGCCTCAGCCCCATGATTTTCTAATATTAAGTTGGTGTAAGACTTCCATATTCCCTCTTCCATCTCTGTATACAAACCCAAAATTCTAGAACTGGGACTTATCGGTTGAACTGAACACATGGCCCGCCAAGCTAAATAACATCCTTTTCATCTTTTTTATTGCAATTGTATCTGTTTAAATTTTGGTTTGAATAGTTACAATGATGTGACTAGTATAATTGCATTTTAATGCCTACTTTTTACATGGTTTACGTATATGTATATATATATATATATATATATAAAAATTGTAAACTGTCTTGACTCCCATATTTGCAAAAAAGGGGAGATGGTGAAGATGATGATGAGACTAGAAAAGTTACTTTTGGGTGATCTTTCACTGAATCTCCTAATCTCTGTCCCATTCTTTTCCAGCTGGGAAACATGCTAAACTGGAAGTGGCCTAAGTAGCTGCAAATGTATGTGTGGACAGAGATTGCTACTACAGTTCTAGAATCACATACTGAATGGCGTGATTCAAGGAGCTGCAGTTAAGAAGTATCTCTCTCCAGGTCTTTAGGACACTGATTACACACATCATTAATTCTCAATAATAGGATGCAGGGTTCACCCATGAGATAACACAGAATTCAAAAACCAAAAGTATTGAGAAATTAGTTTGCATGGGAAATTTTTGTTTCTTATTAATTTGCTAAATATCTGATACTTACGATTGAACATGTTCAGATAAACAACGTGGCTGTAATTTCTATGCGTTTCGACAAACCAAGTATTCATAAGTTTCAAGGCCACATGGCAATAAGAAGACCTAAAGAAAATGGACACAATTGGTAATATTAGAATCAACAATATAGATACATTCTTGACAACTTAAAAACCAGCCATCCTGTTTGGACGGATAGAGTTTGCATCTCAGAAGTCTTGTGGTAATTGAAAGCCTAAAAATTGACCAGGCACTTAATGAAGCCTATAGACCTGTCCACCAAAGCTTGGTCTCAAACACCTTTATTAAGTCTATGTGCACATGCAAATATCTTAATATAAACACAAGCAGATTCGCGTGTGCGCATATGAGGTCCAGCACAAAATGGAGGGATTTGGTTTTTTTAAAACTTCAATTGGATCTCTGTCTTCTCCCAATTCTTAATTCAACCTCTGTTCAAGATTGTAAAGTGTAGAAAAAGAGCTTCAGAGAGTTCTAATTGCTCTCCATTTGTGCTTCACTTGAACCACCTGTGTGTCCGCTTGACAGCCTGATCAGCTGTTCAGCTGTTTCAGTTTTTTAAAAAGCACATGTGCGCTGGAACAGTCTACACAAGGGGGAGTGAAGGAAAGCATGTTTTTCGTGACTGCAGGGATATACAATCATGCAAATGTGCACTTTTTCAGGCTGAATCGCATTATAAGCACACTGTTTTGACACATGCTTTTAGTTCTTAACCCGATCCCTCCTGCACTTTGGCTAAGCATTGTTTAGCCACACACACACACCCCACCCCCTTTAACCTGGTTACTACTGGGTTTTACAGCATGTGTAGAAGGGCCCTGAGCTAGTAGGCTGAGCCAGTGTTGCATGCACCTTAAGTCTCCCTGAACATGAAACAGGGTATTTGTTAAGAATAGCCAACCACTGGGATACAGAAGCAGTTTCTGATGGGAGAATAGCCGATCTCCCTTTGCTTGTATCACCACTTCTCCAGGTGGATATTCAAGTTGTCCAGTGCCAAACCTCTCAAGGGACAGAGTCTGTACTAAGAGATGTCAGGGTCATCTCAGAGCAACTGAAGAAGGAGCAACTGAGGGGGATCAAAGAGGGGATTTGACTGAAAAGCATTGGAGGGTGGAAAGTGCATCTCAACTTACAGGTTGTAGTACATTGGGAGCCTGAGTTTGGAGCAAGCCTTCAGCTGAGAGTAGACAAAGGGGAAAAGCAGTGAATCCTTCTCTCTGAATGCAACCTTAGCGACAGCTGTGATAATTGGGAGAGTTGGGTATGTTTCAAAGATGGCCATGCAAGCCACAATTCGAGCTTGAATAGGAGTAGAAGAGTTCATATAGATCTGGGCGAGAATGCCTTGAACCTGTTGAAAAAGGAAATGTCTTATGGTTATTATGTTTAACACCTGCAATCTTTACGAAGGTTGTAAAAATGAGTAACATGCTTGGAGTGAAAGAGAAGCAGATAGCTCCTGTAAGGAGATGATACAGTAAGCATAAACAGTGTCTTTAGCTGCACCCACACTTTGGAATTATTGGGCCACATAAACTTCCATGGCTCAGTATTATCGGATTTGGGCATTTGTAGTTTTGGGACATAATTCCCCTCCTTGGTCACAGAGCCTTGGTGCCAAAGTAAATTACAAATCCAAGGATTCCATAGGATGGAGATGCAGCAATTAAAAACTTGCAAATCTGTTATACTTCTACAGTGTGGATGGTCTCCTAGGGCCCTTCCAGGCAGGCCCTATATCCCAGGATCTGATTCCAGGTTTTCTGTTTATTCCAGATTATCTAGCAGTCCAGACTCATATAATCCAGTTTAAAGCAAAAAAAACCCAAAAACAACCCTGGGATCAGATCCTCGGATATAGGATCTGTTTGGAAAGGTGCCTAGTCACTGTTTTCAACAGTTTTGAGGTAGGAGTGGTTGGCAGAAAGAGATGTATCCTGTGTGACTACATCTCAAATACCTACTCTATAAGTGTCTCATGAAAACCTGCGCACTCCACTGAGTTCTGCTCCCTTGGTCATTCGGTGGCCATCTAGATGCCCTTCCAAGAGGGCAACCAAGGCAGACTTCTCCACCTACTTGCTCCACGTCCTGATACCAAGGCAGCATTCCTTCTTTCTCTAATCATCTTGCCTAATATTTCCTCCAATATAGACCCTCTGCTTTCTTTTCCCTTTCTCCTTTCTTTTCAAACAAATTTCTGATATTCAGAATTGCAACCTAACCATAACCATGGTTTGAGCTATGGGGAGGAGTTGCACCTGGAACCGCATCTGAAGACATAATATCTTCCTAATACCTTCAGGAGTCTTTCTTGTTCCACTTACCCTTGTAGAGTCCCGTTTGCCGATTTTCATCAATGCTCGGATAGCAATAGCCTGGACAAATTTGGTGTATTTATCAGTCTCGGCCAAGGGTCTCACTAATTTCAAGCTGGCTGGCTGAGCAGCATTGCCAATAGACTTCAAAGCCAATATTATGCGTTTTTCATCGTGGTGCGTGACTGCCTCAGTGAGGAGGTTGTGGATGGGCTACAAACAGAAACAAACACAAAAATTGGGATCATTCCAACTTCATCTGAAAAATGCAGTATATGTGGCTGTCTTTTCCCTATGGCAAAACATTGAGTGATAATTTGCAAGTACCATTTTTGGGGTGGTATATGAGAGGCCCTGCATTAAACAGTCACCAGAGCAAGGCTGAGATTTAGATGAAACTAGTGACTTTTCCGGTCTGGACCACACTTGGGAATGTTCCCAGGGATCCAAGAAATCACTTCTTATTGGTAATATGCAAGCCTAAGCAATTCCTCAATGGCTCTGGAAAGCACACTCTTCTTTGGTTAACGCACGTACAATTCAACTTCACCTAAAATAAGGACCACATACCTCAAGCAATTTGTTGGGACAATTTTGACCCAGAGGACATTGTCTGGAGACTAGAGCTCCATATGCCAGGATGACAAGCTTCTCAAGCACTAATGGCCCAGTACTATGAACATGGTTGAGAATTTCCTGTGGAATAGAGAAAGCAGTCAATCCAGGAACCAGATTTTCATATACAATGTGTCTTTTATAATGCTTACTCCATTGCTTTAATTGAAAACAATGTATATCGTCCATTCTTGTAGGGAGCACCAATTTAACATGTACTCACGGCTGCTAGGTGAGCTGTGTCCTCTATTCTAGCAACATCCGGGCTGGCAGTGTGGAACATTATGGGAAGGAGCCAATAAAGTTCCATTTTCTGCAGTTCGCCTTTGATCAGTTTTTCTTTGAGAAACTTCATGGGGTCAAGACGGCCTGCATATAAGATTGAACTCAGCAGGAGATGTCTGCAAAGGAGAGAAGAGAACATCCTRAAGATTCATTCTGATRTCTTTTCTACAAGAGCAGTCCTGACTGAGAGATCTGAGGGCAGATTCTGAGACTCCCYTCTCTGGCACTTCTCAGGTGCTCAGGCAGTGCTCTGCAGGGCATGCTGGTTAGYCAACATACCTGGSTTTGGGTTTGTGCTCAACTGTCTTGAAAAGGACATTCATCTCCTCTACAGTRAAACGACGGCACAGTTGGCTAAGGTCTATGTACTTGGGGAGAGCCTCTAGAGGGATGTTTTCCCAGCGATCGGCCTCCTTCAGAATTTCCTCAGCCTGATAGAAGAGCYGAAAGCAAAGAGGAGACAGGATATCYTCAGTGTTGGCCATCAAAACATTCTTTGGAAAGTCAGTAAGAAAAGAAGAWACGTATTTGTTTTTTACCTGTTTCTTAGCATCTTTAATGTTCATCATCTCAGGCAAATATTCTGGGAATTCATAATGAATGCTTACAATCTTCTCTTGAACACCTTCCTGTGCCTGAGTTTGTGGTGGGGTATGTTTATCAGGCACATTATTAACCAAGTACAATTTTTGCCTGAGAGGAAAGAGGAAAGTAGAAAAGTGCCATTGAGGATTGAGTCAATTGTGGTCTCTCATTTGATCTGCATCTGATTTTCCCTGAGAAACTCAGGAGAAATAACACCAAGGAGATACAGATTGCATTGCTGAGCCCATAGACCGAATGGAAATGTAGCCACTCATAAGATGGTAGAGTTATCTCTGCAATAGTCATTATTATTATTATTATTATTATTATTATTATTATTATTATTAACCCAACAAGATGAGTCCACAGCCGACAAGATCACTCTGTTGGCTGTTGTATTGGATTATTATTATTATTATTATTATTATTATTATTATTATTATTATTATTAACACCAAGGAATGGCATGGGCAACCCTGCGAGGCAATATGTATAACACTTTTTCCCAGGATCAAAGATGCTTCAGGAATCCCTCAGATATTTTTAAAGCTAATTTGTTTATTTCTTCAAGGGAAGAGGGTTTTAATTTTTAATGGGGAGGCATTGTTCTGATTTTATTTATTTCAAAGTTATGTTTTTAAATGGTTTGCACTTATTCCTTATTTGATTTTTATATTTCAGAATGTTTCGGTTGTATTGTTTTAATGTTGGTTTGTCCCTATTGGGAGAAAAGTGGCATTAAAATAATACAAAACATTATAAAATAAATTGAATAAACTTGACCCATTCCAACTTTGACTTAAGCCAATGTGGAACTAAACCTACATATCTACCCTTTTTGGAAAAAAAAACACATGGATTTCCCAACTTACCTGGCTACTATTACTCCAGCACCATCGGCTTCACTGAATGGAGAAACTCGGTATACATCCTCAGACTCAACTTGAGAAATCGTGCTTATAGGACCATTACATTTCAGCTTCATGACCAAGGCTGAAGTCCCTTGAACCATTGTGTTTTTCTAAATGACAGAAAGTGGCACCTTTTGTGAGTAGAACACACACTGGGTTGAAAGACTAACATGGCTGATGCTTTAGAGATGGAGTTAGCAGCTCATACAGAAGGATATTAATCCCACCCCACATCTCTGTTAAAGTCAGTGGAATCACTTAACTTTTGCAGACGAATGAATATATTTGAGCTGTTCTTACCAGTGGGCATTTTGGATATAGGTGGAAGTAAGACATTCCAATGGTCCGCTGGACTTTATTATCGCAGTTGCTGTAGTCCTTGGTCTTGGTGATCGTGGAGCACTTATTCCTGTCATCTGTGATGAAATACCTCGTCAGGCACTCACCTGCAATGCCATCCTGGAAATATTGATGAAGACACATTACCAGGGGATACACAAATATCATCCAAATAGTGTGTGGCTGAGTATGCAATTGAAGTAGAGCAGAATGAAACTAACAATGGGAATCACAGTAGAGAGTCACTCTTCTCTTTCTCCCTAACATTTTCTATGTTACAGTAATTTTTTTATGTTGCATATTGTTTCCTAATAATTTAGAAAGTTGGAGAGAAAATGTCTTGGCAGGTTACTTGATTATCCCCAAACACAGAGATTGGTCTTTAATCTATTGATTTTATATTAAGGGGAATATTCTGAGATTGGATTATTAAGGTCTAAGATTTCCATCTGGAAACTTCACTTATCAATTAGACATTTTAGTCACAAAATATTTAAATGATTATCCAAATTGGTAATTAAACCTTTCATGTAGCTCAATCTTTATTTTTATTTATTATAAGCTGTCTTGGTCCTCATGGTGAGAAAAACGGGTGGTATATGTATAAATAAATGCTGGAACCACCACAGATAAGCAGAGTGTTAGTTGACTACTCATTGAAACAAGGGATAGGGGAGAGTTTGCCCAGTAAATAGCTGAAATTCAGCCCCAGCCATTATGGTTGGGGATGATGGGAATCGAAGATCAACAATTGGAGAGACAAAAACATAAACAACAAATTGAATGTAAACAAAAAGTACAGACAGCATTTTACTACTAAAGTAGGCTGGAGGTATATGCAAAAATGACTGCAAACACTTTTAAGTATTAGAGCTTTCCCTTTTAGCCATTCTTGCTTTTTACTGATTATACCATCCCATCAATAACACAAACAAACCTCTTTCAGCTGAAATTCATTCTGATCCTTTATGTTTGCAATCATCAAGTTCATGATTGCTCTCATATGATTCACACATTCAACAGGGGCCTCTTTTGGCACACGGATCTCATCAAATCTTCCATTGTTGTAAACAGCACGGTAGTTATGCAGGTCACAGTCAGCCAGTCTGTAATCTTGCTTGGGAGGCTCGACAAATTGGCCCTTTTGCTCAGCAAAGTGATCTCCGGACTGGTCAGGGACTCCAACAGCTTCTCCCATTCTAAGATTCAACATCTGGGAACAAAATGATAGGGGGGAAAGAAGAGATACGACATTTTGTGAATTTTCCCCCCAATTAAGCACTTGTAGCTCCTGCTGATTTTCACAGATGGGATAACAGTGCTAACTTGTGCATCTCCACTCGAAGGTGAGTCCTGTCAAGGTCAATGGGTATTACTATCACAGAGGTGCTAGCAGGATTGCCTCCAAAAATGATTTGTTTTGGTTCAATCACACCCTTTCTCATTAGATAATGTTTTTCATATGTAATTGGGATTTTAATCATAGCATTGAATGTTTGCCTGTTTATATGTATGTAAACCACCTTGAGTCCCTACAGGGAGAGAAGGAGGTCTAGAAATAAATTATTATTATTATTATTATTATTATTATTATTATTATTATTATTAAAAAGAAAACAAGTGAATTGTGTACAAAAACCCATTTTACCGAGCTATTAATGCTTCTTTGCATTTCACATTTCTTTGTATAAAATGGTTTAATACACCAAGGCTTACATTTTTTGTGAGGAAAGGGACAGGGTGCCATTACTACATGTTTGCCTTCCAACACTGGAAGGACAGAGGAGGAATCCAGCCAATTCATAAGAAGGGGCGCAGTTTTGATTGAGCAACCCAAGGCTAAAGCAGCTACATTACAAAAGACTGCTTAGACTTCTGCTGACAACTACAGAAGCGTTCAGTCAAAAGAGGACCACTCCTTACCAAAGATACATTTTGATGTATCACCCCAATTTATGCAGTACCTACAAACTATGTTTGGAAATATGGGAAGAGGGTCAAATGAACATTATATTAACAATTACCAAAAACAAAATTTGATGCAAAATAAAAGAGATGCCAAGAATCGCCAATAGCTGAATGTCTAACATGACTCCAGAAATATAAAATATAATAAAAGAGACCGCGAACAGGGAGTTAAATACAATATGAGACTGCAAATTAATATAATGAGGACTCGGATCGGCCCTGGAATACGATTTGGATCATGTCACTTTAATTGATGTTTTAATGCTATGTTTTTAATGGGTTTGGTTTTAATGTTTTTGTTTATTCACTGATATATTAATATATGGCATTGAATTGTTACCTTTCTAAGGCTGCCCTTAGTTCCCTTTGGGGTTGAGAAGGGACGGATAAAAATGTGGTAAATAAATAAATGATGCAAGCAAATTGGCATATGCAAGAGAATTGAAACACAAGATATGAGACTATCTAAAAGATATGAGTCTATCTAAAAGATACCTTTAGAATCAAAGGGTGTTTTTTCTGGTTGGTGGTGTTGAACTTAGTGTGTGTCTTACACTTGATGGTGCCTCAGATTCAAATAAGTATATTATATTGTAGAAATAGAACAATCATTTGTTTCTATAACTCTTTCAAATGTTCTCCAGTTTTCCTTCAATTGAAGCAGTAAATGAACCTGATGGCTATACCAAAGAGCGTCCTCCTTACCGAGAAAATCTTATCCCGACCATTTGCCAAGACAGATACGTCAGCTGTCATCTTTAGAACCGATCGTCCCAGACCGTCTCCTTCAGCTGTACTCATGATTTCGCTCACATATTTGTAGTAATGTGGTACCCCTTCTGGGAAATCTATCCCTGCAAAGAATCAGACAAAGAAACATTTATATCTGTTGTCTTTAATGGTTGCAAACTTATAAGAAATAAAGACCTTAACCAGGCAATCAAATGATGATTAAGCTAAAGCTTTAATGCATCAATTGCGTAACAAATAATTTTAAATCCAGGCTAGTTCTTTATGCAATGGCCTACACATCAAGTAGGAAACAAAAAGAGGCATGACTCCTCTGGAGCTCCCTGGTTTCCGGTTCAGTCTCTTAGGCTTCATTCTATACCATTCCAATTAATTCCCATTTATCAGGGACTGAGTTCTCAAAACATTTCAGACAAAGTCCCAGGGAGAGTATTTTATTTGTTCTGTTACTGATACTTACTGACTTTGGAGGTGATGAGTCCTGAGGAAAGAAATTTGGAAGATTACCATCTGGACAGAATAGCAAAGCACAATCCTTTAAGTGTAAAATATACTAGTGGGATGTGGTCTCCCTCCTCCCAAGAGTGCTGCTGTTAACTAGGCAACCACCTCCTCTTTTAGAATACTTCCATTCTCTTTCCAATGCTCCCTTTTCGTTTCTAAGGAACATTCTTCTTTGATCATTTGCTGAGTTGGTTTAATCTCAATTGAACTGAATGGGTCGTAGAGACTTTCCTGTATCTTTACCATTATATTCTTGAAACCATTTCTAGAATCCTCACAAACTGGCTTCCGCTGATTTCTCAGTGGCCTCATTTAACTCCATTTTGGTTCTGCGGATGCTCACTGAATGAACAATAATGTTCAGCATTTGTAGTGAACATTACCCTAGTAGGCCAGCATTATTGCATTGCTAGGGGTAGGGAAAAGGTGTAGACTAAGTGTCTAAGAACACTGTGAAATTTTGATTGAGACTTTTCAGGTTAGCATCTTATTCTTTTAGTAAATAAACCACAGAAACTAAGCTTGTCCCCCGCCCCCTTCTTCTCCCATTTCTATCTCATACACAGTTTCACTAACAATGTTTAAAATTAGTAACAGACTTACCATTTTCTGGAATTTGACCTTCTAGAAGAAAGAAATTGAAAAGGTTATGTTGTGAACATAAAAGTAGAATCCAGTCTGTTAACTAGAAAAATATACAAGCAGAATCTGCACCATTTTACTGCAGTGTATCCTTCCTGAGCAGTCCTTCCCATCAAGGTTGTAGACACCAGAGAGACACGGGACTTTACTCCAAACAATGTATTGAGCCCCATTCCCCAAATATGTAGGCTAAGGATCTTGGCGCATTCATGTTGAGTAAAACCTGGATTGCAGCCCCTCTTCCAACATGGAGACCATTAGCCATCAGTGCCTCCAGATATTGGAAATCCTGTTTCTCTCTCAGTGTTTGGTCCTGACACTAAGGACTTCATCACATTGAGGTCTAGAAGCTGGGGTAAAGTGTATAACTACATTGCAATTACTATACTGTCATGAATCATGGGAAACCATCCCACGTTTTCCCATTCTCCCCGGCTTCTTCCCACTATCTCTCTGGCTTCTTCTGTGTCAGTGGTTCTCAACCTGTGGATCTCCAGGTGTTTTGGCCTACAACTCCCAGAAATCACAGCCAGCTTCCCAGCTGTTAGGATTTCTAGGAGTTGAAGGCCAAATCATCGGGGGTTCCACAGGTTGAGAACCACTGATCTATGTGGAGTCAGGTGTACATCTGACTCCTCTGGAATCTGCTTCTTAGTGCTGTTGGCATGCCTCCAACACAGAGCCCAGTGGAGCCTCACCGTAAGTAGCCCTGTGACATCCAATGAGCTCTGGTAGTGCAGAGAAGCACAGAGATGTTTCTTGATGTTCACTTGATAAGTAGGGAGACAAGAACTGCTGTTTAAGCCCTTTCTCTTCCCCCTTTGTGGATTTTTAACAACCTCTTTTGATTTTGGTGTATCCTGACATGAGGAAGGGAACTAATAAGAAATCTAACCACTAAATAATACTACTTGGTTATTACATTATTACTATATGATTCACTTCAGCAAAGGTTACTTGTGCAAAAGTCTGAGAGAGGTGCAAATGTATGTAACCGTAATGAATAAATAATGGTCCTGAATTAATTACTTAATTTTTTACACATATGCTGAGGATTTGCTATGACTTATCAATTGTTTATTGAAATCCTAGAGGACTTACTGTTTTGGGACTTCTGGCCTCCTGGGGGAAAAGAAATTGGACAGGTTAAAATGGGAGCTCAAGAATAGAGTATAACCTCCTAATGTTAAAATATATTTGTTTTCAATTATCTTCTAGATAATTCTACATATCAGAACAAGGAAAGCCTTCCACAAGTTCCATAAAGAATAATACAAAAATCTACAATATTTGCAAACATTGCTTTTAATAAACGCATAAGCACCCAGTGCTGCAAATTTCACTTGGTAGACTTTTTAAAAGTTGAAGCAGAAACTGAGGCCCCTTCTACACTGCCATATAATCCAGATTATCTAATCAGATCATCCACATTATCTGATTTGAACTGGATTATATGAGTTTATACTGCCATATAATCCAGTCCAAATCACATAATCTCTATTTAATATGGCAATATAGAAGGGGCCTGACTAATCTGGAAGAAAGTTTCATAGGGGCCCACTTAAAAAAAAATACTGTATGTCTGTTTATATTCATGATACAAGCGTTAACTATCTTTTTATAAACTACAATGTCCCATGATATCAAAATGCTGCAAAACTAATGAGGCTTTACCACATTTAGGAATATTTGAGCCTCTTTGGGCTTTGCTACTAAAAATAGGCAATTGATAAGAAGGATTCCTTTTCAGTAATTAGTTAGTGCTTAGAATTTAGGTAACATTCAGGAATAAGGAATTCTTGGTTATCCAGATGTGTTAGTCTTCAGCTTCCTGAAATCCCAATGAAGATGGCCAAATGGCAAGGGCTTATCGGAGTTGCAGTTAAGTGTTGGTGCCTCTCCAAACTAGGATTCCATAGGATGGTTGCAACAACTTGCAGTGTCAATCAATGTTGTCATCGCCCTACTGTGGATGGGAATGAGATTGCACTGTGTGCAAGACCACCTACTGCTGAAATGGTGTGCCTTCAAGTCATTTCTGACTTACGACAACCCAAGAGTGAACATATCATGGAATTTTCACAGTAGAATTTTGTTCTGATTTGCCTTATCCTTCCTCTGAGACTGGGACAATGTGATTTTTCCAAGATTCAGTAGTGCAGTGGTTCTCAATCTGTGGGTCCCCAAGTATTTTGACCTACAACTCCCAGAAACCCCAGCCGGTTTACCAGCTGTTAGGATTTCTGGGAGTTGAAGGCCAAAACATTTGGGGACCCACAGGTTGGGAGCCACTAGACTAGTATGTTTTCAAGGCCCAATGGAACTTTGAACCCTGTTCTCCTAGTGTCCTAGACCTACATACAAAACACTATGTCACACCAGCTCTAAAACTACCTATAGCAAGGTTTAAATCTTGCAAGGTATAGTCTTTTAGGTGCCCAGATTTCACCGGCTCAACTCTTATGCCTCCAATGTCATTTCAACAAATGTAGTAACATTGATTTTTCAACATAAAAAATAGTTACATGAATCAATAATTATATGGACTTACTATTTGGAAATTTTTGGCTCCCTGTGGAAAAGAAATTGGATACACTAATTAATGTGATTGTAGCATTAGAGAAGAAATTTAAGTTGTCAAATGTCAATTTGGCTGTAATGTACAAAATTCTCCAGAAGGATCTTAGTAAATGCAAAGGCAGACTTACCCGCAAGGGTGAGCAGAAGAGCAAGGACGATTCCCCTCATGGTGAAGGCGAATGACTGCCCTCCGAAGTGCAGGGCATTTTATAGGCAGACGAGGAGCCCCACGTGATCTAAGTTGACCAGAATTTTGCTGATTCAGGTAAAATTTTATCTCTTTTCAGCAAACATTTTTTTGGCAAATGATCTGATTTTTTTAAATTTTCCAGATAAAGAACCCATTTCTACCTCGCCTTTTACAAATTTATTTCTTTGCAATTATCCCACATATATCATTTCATGGTTCTCATTGAAATGTTTCATGAAATGATTTTATAAATTTAAGAAAACATTTTAATTGAAACAAAAATATAAAGGATTTTTACTGGGTTTTCTCATGGCTAAAGGGATAATTTTAGATGAGGGAGACTTTGTCCTGGTTAATCTGACCTAATATGTGTTGCAAACGTTTACCTAACTGATAACCACAGAGAGGCTGTGCTGGTGCTTGACACTCCAATGCATAGTATCCATGTATATATTTATTTTTCTATTTCATGGTGTTATGTTATGAATGATATTGGCCATTTGTATTCACAGATTCCGAATCCATTGATTCAATCATCAATGACTTGAGAATATCCAAGTCATTGATGATTATATATCCAAAAGGGAACCTACTATTTTAGTGCATCACTGTATACAATGGGAACCAAACCTCAGCAAAAACCAAAGAGCCACTTTGCTTACTCTCAAGTAAATGCACTGGGGTTTATTGTTAATTCAATGACATAAAGAAAAATCATGAAAGATCTTAGGGGGCACCAGGAATGTAAGGTTGGGTCGGAGCTTGTGCTACTTTACTTTTCATGCTGCTTCTGGACTGAGTCAAATCATTATGCCTGGGAGATACACTGGGTTGGGATGAATGCTATAGTTTGCATTGATTTGTACAATTTCACACACATTTTGATTCTGTGCAGAAAACAGAAAAGTACATTTTCCATTGGTAAAATATGCTGCTGTGTTGTGGACAGGGATGCTCCTTTTCCAGCAGCTTGTGTCAGGGGTCAGGACACTATTTTTAATGAAGTGTGTGAATATTTACAAGAATCCTTCACATTTTTGCTTGAAAGATTTCCTGTACCCTAAAGGCAGTGGCCTCCTGGTATGTGCTCCTGGACCTAAAGTAAAGAATAAGATTAAATCATAATGTCCATATTTGGGACTGCTGAAAATAATCAGATTTGATTGGCTCGCTCAACCACGAATTAACTAAACTACAGCAACAGCAATGTAAACTGTGATGGATTCATGCTATGTGCTACTTGGAACTGTACTTTTACAGTTCCAAGTAAAAGTACCTTCCCAAAGTACACGGGTTACATAGGACACATCTGTGACATTTAAAGTGGGATTGAACTTCTATAATGATATACAATGGAGCTTTGGTATCTTCTGGTGTTTGGTAAATTGTGTGTCTCCTATCTTTTCCTATTACTACACCCATCATTTTCTTTCCACAGGAAATTGGTTAAAGGTGGTGGTGGTGGGGGGGGGGGTAGAATAGCTGTACAGTGGGCCCTGCTGAGGTTTGGTTTTATTATTTTATTTATTTACTGTATTTATATCCTGCCTTTCTTGACCCTGAGGGGGACMCAGAGCAGCTTATAGCATAGGCAATAATTCAATGCCTTAAAAATATACCTCCAATATGCAATTTAAAACTTTAAATGAGATGGTTTTAAGATCTCCTGTTGATACCAAAATCCATGGATGCGGATATCCTATTATATACAATGGCATAATAAAATGGTGTCCCTTATATAAAATGGCAGGAAGCTATAGCAAGATATGGCTACACATCAGCATAGTCCACAGCACATACATAGCAAAACCAAGCTTTGTTTTGGGGGATTTTTTCCGCTCATTGATTGAATTCATGGATGCAGAAGTCATGGACATGGAGGGCCAACCAGACTATATATTTAGAGTGGTACTGTTAAGCTCTTCCAATTTGGAAGTGCTCAACCTCTCCGAGGCAGATGATCCAGTGTAGGCCCAGGAAGCAAGAAATATTTTCGAGTTTAAAAAAGATGTTTACTTTTACAACACTATGTAAAAAAGTAGAGGTAGGAGTAGGGGTTGTGGAGGGCTAGGAAGTGTTTCAATGATCCCAGAAAGTCCACCATCATTGCCATCCTGCTTCCACCCCTTTCTTTTTTTTTTAAATAATTTTTATTAGTTTATAGTTTAAAACGATGAAGCAGAACTGCTTCCACATAGTGACATACAAACACATACAGTGTAACAATATAACATATATAAAGTGCCCTCTTATTGCACAAACTGGAGTTTTGCAGACCTTTCGTTCTTGCTCCCCTCTGTCCCTTAATCTTGTTGTTTCCTTTCTTCTATAATCTTATATTTTTATATTTTGCCTTATTATAGGGGGCAGATGTTTTTAGGTCGTTTGGTTGTTTCTTCTCCCTTCCCCCTCCCACCCCTCCCCCCCTCTATTCTATTGTGGTACATCCTAGACAAACAAACATAAAGACACATGAGAAACTGACAAACTGACCAACATATATAACAGCTATGTACATCTCTTGACTTCCAGGGTATTTAAGCGTGCCATTCCTTATATCTTTTGTGGTTATCTTAGGTCTATGTTAGTCGGGTACTCTTTTGTTTGGTTACTGTTCTCTGGATTTTGTGTTCTATTCTCGTTTCTTGTTGTACTTCTTTAAGAAGGTTATGAATTTGCTCCAGTCAGTGTTTTCTCTTGTCTGTTCATTCTTCCTTAATTTCTGAGTTAGTAAGTCCATGTTCATAATATCAATGGATTTACTCATCCATTGACTGAAGTCTGTTGTTTCTTTGTTCTTCCATAAGCGGGCCACACTTATTCGCGCTGCCGTGGTGAGGTAGAACATAATTTTTTCGTCATTTTTGTCCATGGTTGGGTCATTCCTTTCTTCATCTTCTGTTGCCTTGTCTTGGTGAGGAAAAGGAAGAAGATAAATTGGAGGTTCCATCTACATTTCCATATAATCTGATTTCTGAATCCAGATTATCTGCTTTGAACTGGATTATATGGCAGTGTATACTCATATAATCCATTTCAAATCAGATAATCTAGATTACATGGCAGTGTAGATCCAGCTGGAGAAGCCTGCAGTGATAATTGATTCTTTGCCACAAGGAACTGCCATCACTGATTTATACTTCCCAAAATGGAAAAAAAAAAACCTAATACACAGAGCTCCCCATTTATTCAAATCAAAGCTGGGAATAGTCTGTTTTTCAAATGCTCCTCAGAATTGACTATCCTGACTAGGGTTAATGAGAGTTACATTTGGAGGATCATATGTTTCCTATCTGTGAGTTAGACCATATCGGGAAAAATGCAATAGTATTATAATAGTGGGTTTTTAAAAAATGTGACGTGGGTCTAATTCTGTGGTCACAGACTGAAAACCATCAGAGGCATTCATAAACGGAATAGATTCATATACAAATGGACAATCTGCTCCTTGGAATTATTGTCCACTTTGGCATTTCTGCAGCATGTGTACCATAACCTTATCACACAGGTTGCAGTGACCAAATGATTTCTTCTCTGGGTACAAAGATATCAGCAACACACAGCAAATATTGTCATTTCCAAGGTAAATGCCAGGGTTCGTAGAAAGGGAAACAAGAGCCTTTGCAGGTCACAAGAACCTTTCAGTTTTCTTAATGACATGTCATGTTGGGGAAGCAAAGACATGAGTGAAGCGTATGTTCTGTCAGCTTGATTATTGTAATTATTGTAAGTATAGCTGATTTCATCTTATTCACTTTTATAAAACGGCAAGACTAAATTCTACCTTAGTACCTTAGTATATATGTTTGTGATATAGGCAGAAAACTTCTCATATCAAAGGCTACGTTCTTTCACAGTCTGTCAAGGGGTGCATCTACACTATAGAATGAATGCAGTTTGACATCACTTTCACTGCCTTTCTGATACAACAATTATAAAGAAAAGCTGATTTGTACAAGTGTAAGCTTCCTTAAGAATATGGGTCAAAAACAAATAGCTAGCTCCAAGCAGAGCACAGTAAACTCAGTGAAATAGTGAGATATGTGTAAATATTGCCTTATCATTCACCAGTGGATGCATTGGATATGCTATAGTTAAGGACCATCAAAAGCCTGGAGGGAATGTGATTTTAAACGGGAAGTCTCAACAGCCCCAACCAGTATAGCCAGTGGTGAAGGATTCTGTGAACTGTAATCCAATAGTATCTAGGGGACTTTATGATTCCTACTTCTAATTTCAGATATTACTGACTCACTGTCAAAAAGACAAAATCAAGATGCTACAGGGAGTTGTAGTTGTGATGTTATGGAAATTTGGCAGGTCATCCTTGGGGCCCTTCAACACAACCCTATATCCCAGAATATCAAGGCAGAAAATCCCACAATATCTTATTTGAACTGGGTTATCTGAGTCCACACTCAGACAGTGTGGGATTTTCTGCCTTGATATTCTGGGATACAGGGTTGTGTGGAAGCCAGTCACCATTAAGCAACCACATCGTTCTGTCCAAACATTCACATCTTTTGCCAGCAAAAGCTTCTTTCAATGGGATGGGTTTTTCGGATGTTTGATTCCCTTTTCTGATTTGACTCATACACTTCAGAAAAGGAAAAATTTGGATATCACTCCTAGCGTCTTAGGGCCCTTCCAGACAGGCCCTATATCCCAGGATCTGATCCCAGGGTTTCTGTTTATCCCAGATTATCTAGCATTGCAGACTCATATAATCCAGTTTAAAGCAAAAAACCTGGGATCAGATCCTGAGATATAGGGCTTGTCTGGAAGGGCCTTTATATATATATGAAATTTATCCCAGATATGGTGAGAGAGATCTCTTTTCATGCTTCAACATTTCTCTAAATCACTGAGTTGTACCGTGATAAAATTAGTTCTGCTTTGGCTCTAAATTAGGACCCTTCCACACAGCCCTATATCCCAGAATTACAAGGCAGAAAAACCCACAATATCTCCTTTGAACTGGGTT